GAGACAATGGTAATTTGTTTTTGTAAAGGTTAATTTATTTATTTAATAAAATAAAAGTTCAAATCCATCAATTCCTAGGTGAAACTGGAAACTTTATATATATGTTATATTATTTTTGTACATGATAAATATATGCTATGTTAAAAATATAAACTTATTTAATTTCGATAATTTCGGTATTTTCAGTTTGATATTGGTATTGCAAAGTTTCGTACCGAAAATTTTCGGTAATTACCAGTACCGATACTGAAAAATATTTTCGATATCGGTTTTATGAAATACTGTATTGAATGGTACTGATTGAAATCCTAACCATACCTCAGTTAAATGGAACTACCAGCATGGTGCACTTATTCGGAGCATTCTTAACTTTACAATTAGTTTTTTTATATCTATTTCTTTGTTTAGTATTTTATTTCTTTTTTATTTCTTATAGTTTTTTTATATATAAATCTGAGTAGGTATTCATAATTGCTTGGCACTATCTTTAATAATATATTGGTTTTAATATTTCTTTCCTTTGCAACTTAGATAGTTTACCATAGGTAAGCTAGCATTAAACTTGTTGACTAATTGGTCATGTGAGAGATGTTGTTACTTTCTTTATGTATAAATTTTTCAATTTTACAATTATAATAAAGCGACGATGTTTACCTACTTAAAAAAAAAAAGAAACTATACAAGATCTGATATCAAAGATATACAAGATTTTAATAATAAAAAAGAAATAAAAATACAATATTATTAAAAAACAAAAGAAAATAAACAAAAAAAAATATTAAAATATCAGCTAATCAATAAATATGCAGAAACAATAATCTATAAATGAAAAAATAGAAGAAGCAAACAATATACAAAGGAAACTAATAGACAACTAGCTAGATCAGGAGAAAAACATTGTTATATTTAATTTTTACAATTATTTTTCATATAATAGCAACACTAATGATACCTTGGCACATTAGCCTTGACAATATTCTAGGATAAGTCAATAGCAACAAATCAATATGGAAGAAATTTGATAGCATAACATGCACCTAAAATAATCTATAGATAATAATTATTGTAAAGGAAATACAGATGTAAACTAAATAAAGTATATTAGGCAAGGCCTCACTAGTTGAAAAAAAAAATCTATTTAATTTTATGACAAATATTTATACTAACTAATAATTAACAATAACTTTATTTAACATAGAATATCAGTATCAAATTTTATTTTAACTTTGTGAATTAATTACTGTTGAATTGCTTAATCATTAAACGTTCCCAAAACATAACTTATATATTTTCCTCTTGCTTACGCCTGTAAGCGCCCAAAAGAATATTCAAAGATTATATTTAATACGATTGCTTATACAGTATATAGTGTTAAATAAAATATAAATAAATATGTACTTTTAATGGATTAATAAATTATTAATATCAATTATTAAAAACCTTTTAATTTATACATGTAGAGACGTTTTAACGTAAGAACGGCGAAGTAATATTGCTAGATTGAAAATATTCATCATCCAAAATGTCCTGGAAAGTTAATCGATTCTTCGGAGTCATAGTGAGCATTTTTTCCATTAAATGAGATGCATTTGTGTCTTCTACTTCCATTAAGGGTTCTTTCAGTGTTTTATTTTCCAACACTCGCAAATCCCCCAAACTTTGATATATCCTTTTTCTCCCATCAGTATAAATGTAATACATCAATGCCCCGAAGCTAAAAACATCTGCAGAAAAATGAACTTTGTATCCATCATAAAAGATTTCAGGCGCAGAATATCCTAAAGTGCGTGGTAAACCATCTTCGTTTTTAATGACAGTGTCAACTTCGCGTGCAGAATCAAAATCCGAAATCCGCACTTCATACGATTCTGGTTTCTTCTGGAGCCACACATTATTGGGATTAATATTCAAGTGCACTACATCATGTTCGTGCAAGTACATGATCCCAAGCAACGTGTTCATTAGAACACATTTGATCAACGATTTTTTTTTAACGATCTCTAGAATCTCGGATCCCAAAGTTTTCCCGTGATAATTAAACACAAATATAAATCCTACAGAAGATTCTTCTGCATCTTCCCATTCTACAAGGTAACTAGATTTCAACTTTTTAATCATATTGATTTCATTGCGCCACAATGCTTTCCACTCCTTGGGATAGATTTTTATTATGACTGGTTTTTCGTTGGCCTCGTGGGAACCTCTGAAAGTTCTACATCGTCTCCTAGATCCGCGAAAGGATTTGATCTCAACATCAACGATATACTTCAAACAAACTTTCTCTGAAATAGGAGAGTCTTCAGAGTTATCTGAGAGAGTATGTTTAGAGCTCGTCCTGGATAAGGACGTATGTATTGAAGGGCTAGATCCCAATATCTCTTGTGGTGAAGAGCTCATATATTCTGGCGAAGAGCATATATTAGAATTTTTGTGTGAGTCTAATCCTGGTCGATTCTACAAACACAAAAGTACATAAGAAATACGGTCAATAATGCACGATATGCAAACAGTTGAAGGCTAAAAATAGTTACTTCGATATTCCCATCTCTATGAGGGTATTCTAATGTTGCTCGTGGTTTTCTTTCATAACTAAGTCCCGCAAGAGTACCTTGGTTTTTAATAGGATATGTATCGGAACGTGGTATTTGAATTGGAGGGGATTTTAATTTATTGTTAGGAAAGGTACTGTGATTCGAAAGTGAAGGAAAGCTTGTGAAAGATTTTTTTTTGGACAAATGTTCTTCCAAAAAAAGAATCCTATGAAATGACATCTTGAAGGAAATCCTTCCATGTGTCACGTTGTTTTTCTTAAACGAAATATTAAGAACTATTTCAAATAATTAAAATCCTTAGCATCTTTGATTTGTCTTAATTTCCTGCTCAAACAATTAACGTTACGACAGGAGAACAACGAACCCTACCTTCGGTTGAGCCTTTCTCTGTTAATTCTTTCCAGCACTTCCCATCGTTTTCCCCTCTGAAATCAAATTCTGCCTCTGCAACAACGACATCTCTAGATTTATACGATATACTTATAATGGATTGCGGATGCGCGAACATTTTCAGACAAACAATCGGATACTTCGAGTCTCTGTTATAAAGTGAAGCTTGTGTACTTGATTTCATCTCAAACTCGAATGTGGTACCTCTTCTGTTTAATTCCTTGGAGAATCTAAAAGAACAGTCACATAACGCTATAATAAAAATCATAATCTAAAAGAGCTTCTTACGATTTGATGTCATCTATTAAAAGAGCCCCAATAGTTTCGCCATTCATGGAATCAAATTTGAAGTACTTCCGAGGAGATTCATTTGTATTTGCCAACGGATAAAAGTTCATTTTTAGATCGCCAATTAGCTTCTGATCCTTGAATAATCCCACGGTAGCTTTATGATCTTTGCCCCAATTTCGAAATTTGGTTTTTGCCTCGCCCACCCTTCCCTCGGGACCATTTCTTGAATCCCAAAGGCGAATAGTAAGTTCAGTCTCACTAGGTCTGTCAAATTCAAATATCAACGCCTCGTTAAAAGAAATATATGTTGCATTCCTATTTACAATGTATAAGTAGCCAGTTAATGTCAAATATATTTAGAATTACATTTAAAAACTTACAACGGATATGGTTTTGTAGATTGTTGTTGGTCTGCATATTGTATCTGCAAGACCATTTCTTTCCTGTTGAAAAGGCCGGATAACTTCTGTTTTGGTATCCCTTCACAAAAATAACTAGCGATGATTCAACGTTTTAGGAAAAGAAATATCAAAAGAAATAGAAAGAAAAAAAATATTTAAAAAAATATTTACAATTCGAAGTCATTTAACAAAAAAAAACACTCGCTATTTACAAGCATCTTTTTGAGTGTAAAATTGAGAATAAGATTTTTGAATTTCCAATAGCAATGTAAATCTATGTATATCAAACGATCCAAAAACAATTCGTGAAACGAACACAAAAACAAGAATCGCGTGAGGCTCGTGACCTAATCATTGAAAAAGAATGTTATCAGAAAACATCCCATTGCGATTAGCGTAGAATATCATTGTATTTAAGAATATCCTAATATACCTCACAATGTTACTACAAAATATTACGTAATGACTGTCTAAAGTATGCATCACCTGATCATATGCTTCTTTGGAATAAAAAAATGTTTTTTATAATATATTATTATTAAAAAGTAATAAATAATAAAATAAAATATTTTATGTTATTATCAGTTATTATTATTATAATTTATATAAAAAAACAAAATTTTTAATCTTGCTTTTTCTTAATTAAAGATTTTATTTTAATATATCAATATAGTCCTATATTTTCTTAAGATTTTTATAGTAAAAATAAAAAAGTATAAAAAATTTGTAATATTAAAAAATAAAAAAAAATATTATATATGAAAAAAAGTTTTTTTTTTAAATATATAAGTAATATAATTTATTTATATTTAAAAATTATAATTATTATATAAATTATTATATTTATAAATACAAAAAAATATAACAATAAATATGAATTTATTATAATTTAATAAGTAAATAAAAATTTTACAACTATAAAAATTTTTAAATCAAAAAGTTTAAGTAAATTATTTTATAAAATTTTTTTAAAAAATTTAGAAATAAATAAAATTATTAAATTTATTTATAAATAATTTTTTATTAACAATATTTAAATTAATAACAATTAGGATTATATATCTATATATATAATAAAATTAAAAAGTTTTTAAATTTTTTCTATATATAAAATTTTTTTAAAATAAATATTTTTTATTAAAAATTTATAAATAAACTAGATATAAAACAAATTAAATATAATTAAATTTTAAAATAAACTTATTAATTTAATTGTTATATAATAGAATTTTATTAATTTTATTAATTCAGTTACTCAAATTAATTTTACTAATTTGTTATCTAATTTAATTCTATCAATTCTATTATAATCAAAATTAAAATCAATTATATATAGTATATATTTTAAGAAGCAAATGATTATTATATTATATTTTATTAATTATAAATTTATATTTATAAAGCAAGATTATAATTATCAATAGTATAATATACATATTTTTTTGTTAGAAAAAGTTAAATATAGGTTTATAAAATAGCCATATATTTGTACTTCTTGGTATTACTCAAAAAATATATTAAAAAAAAATTTTAAACCTATATTATAATCTTGAATATTATCTAGTTAACTAGAAAATATTTAAATATCTAATTATATAAAGGTATTATAATCACTTTATACAGATTTGTCTTTAAGTTATAAATAAGATTAATATACTTACTTCTTAAATATAGTTTAATGTTTGGTAAGCAGAATAGTATTGAAAATAATTAATTTATAATTACTTTTTTATATAAAGATATTACAGTTACTTTATACAGATTTGTTTTTAAATTATAAAAAGAATTTAATACATTTATACCCCTAGGCTTGGCAGCTTACGTCAACCGGCTCGTAACGAAATGTCTACTAGGAAATTAAGAGTTATTCCTTAAGAAGTCATGCCTCATTTGGCTATATGGCCCCTAGATTTGGTGGTATTCAATCGGCAGCAAACCAGAGCATTCGCTAAGGAGTACATACCTACATCAATCGGTCCAAGCTGCAGCTGGGGTCAGGTGGTGGTAGGTGAGACGTGATAAGAATCCTAATAACGGTGGCAAGTAACAAAAATGTTCTTTGAATAGACCATGCTTGGATTGCAAACCCATCTCCGGGGTGTTAGTTGGTAGCCAGGTTAGAATTAGAGACGGTACTAGGGTTAGAATAGCTAATATAGTTAGTCAGACTCTTCATGTAATAATTGTAACTTCAATGCTAAGTTAATAAAGTTCGTATGTAATGCACTTTGCCTCTTAAAAAAAAAAAAAAGGAATTTTAAATTTTTTTGAAATAAAAATTTCCAAAGTTTTTTTATTTTAAAAAATTCTATATTAAAAATTCTTAAAAACCTTTGAAGATTTTCAAAGATTTTTCTGGAAATTTTTTAATGTGTATATGATAGAGGATACTATTTATGGAAAATTCTATATATGGTAATAAATATAATATATTAAAAAAAAATTTTTTTTAATTGTTGTTTCATGATATATTATAATTACAAAATAAGTAATATTGGAAACTATAAAATTTTTTATTTTATTAATTATAATAAATATTAAATACAGGAATATGCCACTACCAAGTGCAAATAAACACCATTATTAAGCAACAATCACTAAAAAAAAACGCTGCCAATGGAATGTCTGTGAAAAATTAGTTGTAATTGCTTATCTTGAAAACCATCCACAAAAAAGTATTCGTACAACTACTGCTAAGTTTAATATTGAACCTGTTCAAGTTAAAAAATGACAAAAACTTAAACAAAAATTAATAAAAGCTTTATCTTATGTTCGACAATTAAATATTGGTTTTCATCCAAGATATCCAGAGTTAGAAATAGCTTTAAGTCAATGGATCAAAGATTTGCATCAAAACTTAAAAGTTGTAACAAGATCAATAATACAATTAAAAGTTAAAACTTTTGCACAATCAATACAATATAGTATGATATATCCTGATATTCAAAAATGTCAATTTAGCAATAAGTGACTTGATGGGTTTATGACATGACATCAATTTAGTTCTCGGCACTATACAACAATAGCACAATGATTACCAGCAGATTTAGTAGAAATACAACATAATTTTTTAGGATTTATTTTATATCAAAGAATTCAACATAATTATCTACTCAAACTTATTGATAATATGGATGAAACCTTTGTAGCATTTGATTTTCCTAATCCAACAATTATAGAAACTACTGGATCTAAAACTATTAGCATTCAAACTTATAGATATGAAAAGTCTAACTTTACTGTAATCTTGAATTGTATGACTGACAGAACAAAATTGCCAGCAATAATTATTTTTAAATTGGCAAAAATTCCACAACAAATATTTTCACCAGGAATTATTATTCAAGTTAATAAAAAAGGTTATTCTAATACAGAAGAAACATTTTATTGGATCGAAAATATTTGGAGTCAATGTGCTTCTTTATCTAGTAATCCACAATCATTATTAATATTTGATTCTTTTAGAGGTCATTTAACGGATTCTATTAAAAATTGACTTCATGAAAAAAATACTAATATGGCAGTTATACCAGGTGGACTTATTTCTAAACTACAACTATTAGATGTATCAATCAATAAATTATTTAAATCAAAGATAAAAAAATTTTTTAAAATTTATAATATTAATAAAATACTAAACCTTTTACAATAACAATAGTTATGCCATTATTATAATAATTGGATGGCTGAAGAGATTAAAACCTATACTCTAACTGGTCGTATTCAAAAGCCTGCTTATAATTTGATTGCTCAATAGATCAAAGATACATGGGATGTTATTGATTTTTCTTTAATTCAATGTTCTTTTTAATGTTGTAAAATTTCTAATACATGAGATGATAGTGAAGAATATCTTATATTCAATTATAATTATATTACAAAAAATAACATCAACAGTAATAATAATTATGTTTATTTGAATAATAAAGGTTTAGATGTAAAAGTTGAAAGTATAGAAACTTACTTAGAAGAAAAAAATATTAATGTTAGAGAATGCGAAGATGATTATTATAATAATTATGAATTAAATTATGTAAATAATTGAAATCTGATAGAAGGTTTAAAATTCATTAATAAATAATAAAGTGATTAAGTTTTAGATTCTTTCTTTTATTAAAAATTTCAATATTCTTACCATTTTCCATTCTTTTTAACATAGCTTAGGTTTAAATTGTCTTTATAACAAAATTCCAATAAACTATAAGTAATTCTCGATTCAAAGTTTTAAAAGATCACATCTACAATATATTATTTATTTGAGTGCTCCGATGCCATCTTATGAAATTATCCTTTATACTTTATTGTTTCAAAATTTAAAGTCTAGAGAAATATTCCACTATTACAGATAAATACAACAGCATGTTAAGTCAACTTGTTATTGTGAATGGTGAAAAATTATGGTAAAAAAAATCTAGGTGGAAAATTTAGGGATAAAAAGTTTTAGAGTTGAGTTGAATATACTGTAAATATGTAAATAATAGGCACATGTATAAATATATATGCCATTCAGTAGTATTTAGAAGTAAATAATAAAGTTAAGTTTGAAATAAATTCTTACCTTGTGTTTAGTATGTCATAGATGACTTGTAATTTGGGCTATGCGACTAAGAGAGAGAATCAAAATTTTGTCTAAGGAAAAACATGACAATCAAAATAATGCATCTGATGAAGATCCCACTTACAAAAGTATCAGTGAATACACCCAAGACAGAACGATCAATCATTATCACCTCAATTACGCCACATTGAAAAGCAATCAGACAGAAAAGATAAAAACATATATTGTACTTATCCACTGAAAAAAATGGGAATCCAGGAAATCATGACAACTCAGCATCTACCACATCACATCACAATCTACTCAAATAGATAAATCTATAAAAAGAATAGAGGAAAGTGAAAACAAAATTTTGTATTTGACCTAAATGAATATGAAAACTATGCCTTATTAATGCCTTACTTTAAACCCAATCAAGATTATCAGTGCAATATGTTGTAAGATTATATACAAGTGGAGGAATAAGATAATAAATAA